TTTCTCGTCTTTAGAAATTGGACGTATCGCTCTAAAACATATTCACACGGAACCATATCTGTTTTTCTTTGTAACCGAAACCTTTTCAAAGCATAAATTTATAATTACTCTGAGCGCAATATTCAGTAAAGTGAAAGCATATAAATATTTATTGTTCTTGATTATGTGTTGCCTTCTCAGACAATCTATAACTGACATTTACAGCATCCAAGGACCCATTACGATGATGAATTGCTCTGTCTCTGAGAGAGCATTGACTGAATCGCCAGTTGGGAAAGAGGTTGATAGACTGTTTGAAATGGCACATTAAATACACTATAAAAATCACTTCCATATGTTCTATAATGTAAGAATTGAGCAATGCTTGTAATTCCCATGAATTAAAGATGCAGGCAGCACTACTTTCCGTTGTTTTCTTGGATCTCCTGTATCACTCTACTCTTGTTTTCTGCTGTAGAGCACAGGAGACTGTGTGAGGATGAATTTCCCTACCAACATCTGGAAGCATGCTTAATGATCATTAAAAACAAGATGAACTATTCTCTAAAATGACAGGGGGAGGGGTGCACTGTGGTTTAGGTCTCACGCTCTCCTCACATACATAAGCTGCCTTTGTGACATGCTCTACCGTCTCAGTGGGAACCCCGCCTGAGACCTTTAAAATTTAATTTGGCCTTGTTCTAAATTTATAGGCGACACTAAATTTACATTCACGTCTGTGAGAATTCGGTGTTCTGAAATTTCTATCCAAGGAAGGGTTTGAGTATAGATGGAAGTCTGACAACTGGTATAAACCCCCCACTGCTGCCTTGTTAAAATGTAAAACTCTCACGAAGCTACATCTGTGGAGTTTATAACATTAAAATGCTGAAACGTGAGAGAATTTGTGATTAAACTCTGCTTTAATTTGCCTTAATTACATCTCAAAATGACTAACTGCTGCACCTAATCTCTTTTACTTCCACTCAAAAAACAAAACAACTCATTTTAAAAGTCAAGTTTCAGCAACCGCACACTGTTTGTGGCCCATGAATAATGTGCAGGTCAAAGGTACCTATGCTAAAGGATGTTGAGTCAGTCACTCTTTTCAAATGGGAAGCCAAAACATACCCATTCAATTATTCACTCAAACTAAAAGAAAAAAGGAAAAAAAAGAAAAAAAAATAGTAGCTGGCTAACCATGAAAATGTTTAGCAGTGTACCTTTCGTTAAAAATAATACATTCATCTCTTATAGGTACTGACCTACAAGACACGTGTATATTTGTAGTTTTATGACTCAAAACATGCAGCTGTATTGGGTCACCATGTCAACAGTATGTACTGTAGATCTGTTAAGCTGCTGTCAATTAATCTTTGCTTTCCATCTTTCAGTGGCTTCACCAGATAAAGTAACGTTCTCAACAGAAGATATGAAGACATGTTGTCCTGAGGCGTATGCCAGGAATAAACACATTTGACACAGCTATGCTCCTCGACCAAACCTAAAGCTCCAGTTGGAGATAACGGGTATCGTGATGGTGGTTATCAACTGTCTCCATTAAGCTGGGCTCTCTGCATCAGCACGCTCATATAAAAAGGGTGGTTTCACGGGTCAAGATGGCTCTACTTCTGCGCAAAATGATCTGTCTGAGTGCTGCCTACCCCAATCAAAGACATCCTTGGATGATTATGATGATAAAACAGTGATTAAAAATCTATAAAGAAGATTAAAAAAAAAGATAACATTAAAATGCAACACTGTTGTAAAAATGACAAGAGATTAATGCTACAGAAAATCCTTAATCTGTTAGTGCACAGAGCGGTAAAATAAACATTTTAATTACAGGTAATCGTTTTATTGCTGAGTGGGCTCCTGTTTACTTCTAAGGTGTGGCTGCACATCAGAGCTCTGAAATTTTAAACTGGAGAAATTCAGACGTTAAAGGTTAATGTCCCGTAGCCTAATAAAGGATATTACTTTAGTTAGTCAGCAGATCAAAGGGAAATTAATTTTTTGGTTGACCAGGCAGGGTACACCTGTCCAGGGTGTACCTGCCACTCTCCCTATGGCAGCTGGGATCGGCTCCAGCTGGATTTGGATCAACAGAAGAGGATGTGCCTTATGTACAATTCCAGCAATGTAACACAGACTAAGCAGCAGATTATAATAAGTATAAAAACATTTGTACATTTTCTGCTTCACCAAATTAATACATGAAAACGACCCATGACAATGCCACACACAGTTTGTGCATCATTCAGCGGCTTTAATGATTTGACAACGAATTTCACTTAAAACACGCTTTAAATGAAAGGATCAACGAAAATCTGGTGCTTCCAGCCAATCTTAAAACAAAATTCTGAACATAACCTTCTCCTGACCAGGTTATATGGTCAGAGTAAGTTACCATGGTGATTCAGCCAGGTAAAAAGAGAGGCACTTTCATGACACAGATCCCTGTGGCTTTCAGCTTGACATGGCTTGCTAACCCACTAATCTCATTTGGTAGCACGCCCCTCTAGTGTGAAAGGAAGACAAAAAACATTTGTAATTTTTCTTTTACAAAGTATCTAAAACTATAAACATAGTATTCTTATTATACTTAGAATAGCTAAGTATACTATAGAGAGGGACTATGAGAGTTGTGAAAAGGATCCAAATATAGAACACCGATAACTGGCTTGCAAATGATTGGACAAAGACAAGTGATATTGCAGTGAGACAATACTGGGAATAAGGCACAGGTAAGACAATCAACAATAGTTGAAAACAATGAGGGTGGGGCCACCAATCACAGGAAAGACAAGGACAGGAAATAAAACTAGGGCAAAATACATGATAACCCTTACAGTAAAACATGAGGCATGAGGACTAACACTTAACAAGAGCTGCAAAAGAATAATACATTTGGTTTAGGAGGGTTCCTAACTCAGTAGGACCCAGCCAGAAGTAATTGTCTGTCAGCCATAATAAATGAAGGTCTTTAAATGCTAAGGAAAGGTGCTTTGATGCCTCCTATATTACCCCCTTTGAGAAAAGGACACACTGGCCCATCCTTTACGAATGGAAAGGAAATAAATTTCTTTCTTTTTTGTGTGCTTTTCATTTATATCACCTGCATGAAACAACTGTGTAAGAACATACTGGTGTGAAGTCGGATTTTGTAGTCTTTAATTAATATGACAGACATCAGCTATCACATCATTAATGAGTATAGTGTAACAACAGTTGGATTCTCTGCATAACACCCTTATTTTTCCTAAGTCTTCATGAATTCTCTTCCACATTCCTCCTAGACCTCACTGATGTTTTCCATCAGGTCTAGGTTAAGGAAAAGCAGGTAGGAGGTAAGTCGAACATACCCATGTTGTTAAAGAGGAGAACGCAGGAAGACAAAAGCACTAACAGAGAGATGAGACACAATGAGACAAGAGTAGGAAACACTGAGGGCTCTGCAAACACAAAAAAGCCATAACAATAACAAATGAAAGCTGGAACCAAAACTGAGCATTATCACAAGAACTGAAACTCCTCCTATGACTATGACACATTCATTTTTCCATTTGTGGAAGACACACTGGTCTGAGCTCACCTTCTTTTCCCAACTGTGACTATACAGATGCAATAGGCAGAAACACTGATATGCTTTGTTTGGAGTTGAGGTTTAGTTAGTTTGATCATTATGTTCAGTTTATTATTGCACTACTGCAACCTGGAGCACATCCCTTCGTTCAAAGCCACTATTTAAAGTTTGTGATAACTCTGCTCAATGTGTATTTATGATGCACATCAGAAAAGTGACTTCCGGTTTCAGGACTGCATGCAGGGCAGTTTTGCTGAATGCATGATTAATGGGACCACATCAAAAACTGTCTTAACTTTTCACACATGGCTGACTGCAATGTGGCATGGTCATGCTTGACAGATTGTCAGTTTTTGAAATACAAAAGTTTATGTAGGCAGAATTTCAACTGCAGTTTTGTGTATCTGGGGCAGGGATAAAAGGCTCACCTATACCGTTTGACCATCTTGACCTCGAGAGCAGCACGCAGTAGTCCAAGATGGTGCTAAAATAATATTAATTTGGAAGGAGAATCAAAGGCGGAGCACATACCCATGCCAGTCAAATCACTGCTGACAAGTGGATTGTTGATTAGGGGGGGGGGAAACATGCATAACCTACATGATTTGCCATTTTGCCTGCTTTGATCCTAGAAATGCGCTTGTCAAATTCATGCTGTGTAGAATACTGAAAACGAAGGAGGAGATTTTTAGAAGTCTGGAAAATATGTCACTTGTAGGTAATCAGTGCATGGAGGAAAATTAACCATTAGGAATACATTGTGGGCGTGTGTGAAGGGTTGGTGCTCTGCTTCGAGCCGGAATAATTACAGAAAAACTTCTACATTTGGAGGCCATGTGCACTTTGCTTGCGTCCCTGATTGAAATAAATGAGGCAAATAATTGGAAGTGCGGCCAGTTTGCTAGGGTGAGGTCTATCTCAAAGCCTTTCACAACTCAAAACAAACGACTGTATTTATACAGTTTGATTTCAGGAGATATTGCAATCAATGGAACGATTAAGATGTAACAACCTAGGCTTTAATGATTAATACTCACAACATTTGAGGGACCAGAGCCATACTACTGATTGAGTTACTCTAGATTTGCCATGTTCTAGTTTCTCTCTACTGGGCCGTGAAGTGCTACTGACATCTTCAGGAGAAATCAGGTACTGCAGGTCAGAGGAAAACGCTACGTCAGCACCGTACGACGTGGAAGATGGGGGAGGCTTGACGACGATGATACGTTATTATTCTTCAAAATAAGAGCATCAAATTACAGTATCCCTCTCAGCCTGCTTTTTGACACATAAAGTACATTTAAAAAACATACATTGTGCATTTCACTTGAAGCACAGTGCTTTTAAATGGAACCTAATGTGACGCACAACAAAAATAAAAATCACGAAAACCTTTATTCCGAAGTCGTACTATTAAAGCTGCGACCTGGCTGGATGCAGGGATTTTCTGTCTGAATTCTATGGAAGCAGGTAGATGATCATGTGAACGATTCAGGATGAGTAATCATGGATGTAGTATGGGATACTAAGTAAAAACAGCGGTGCCTCCGTTTAATTTATGTTATATTTCAAGGCTACTGCCCGCGCGACTTGTTTAGTCTTTCTGGCGACTGAAAGTTGGCTCCAGTCTCAGCTACAGTGGTGAGGATTTGAAGCTAGCTGTCAGGTAGTAGCCCACTAGCAAGCCACATCAGCACCGTTGCTATTGGTCAATCACGTTAGCATCAGTGTAAGCCAGCTGTTATTCTGTGTCGATGTAGGCTAGCATTGTTCTGTTTTTCTCCCCCAGCTTTATGTGCTATTGTCTTTCTTGCAGAGATTTCATTATGGCAGACAGTATCATGAGCAAGGCTGCAACCATGGAGATCCCCATTAACAGCAATGGAGACACAGGCACTCTCCCAGAGGATGACAGTCTGGAGCAGGTCAGTGATGCTTCATCTCACCTCACTCACTGTGGAAATGAATAATGCTATTTTGCTTATAACAGTATCTAGTTTCCCTAAATTTTGCGTGATTGTACAGTTCATGGCTGGTTAGGCCAAATGTTACCCTACCATGTAAAGGCCTGTAGCTAGGGACAGTAGATGTGTACCTCCAACCCGATAACGTTGAATCGTTCAGAGCACCTATAGGAGGAAACTGTGACATAAATGAGCGTTTGCATGACAAACTGTCAGTAAAATTAAAAGGTTGGTGCACCATTTGTAAAGCCCATTGGGATTAAGAAAGCTATACCAGCAATGACATTAGTAGCATTAGAATAAGCAATACTGAGGCCTCTATAATGAAATGTATGACTACTACAAGTAATATTATTCTTTTTAGCTCATAATCAAATGTTTTGTATGTTATCTGTCTGCACGTCAGCTTTACAAAAAATCGATTCTGTTCATTTTAACTAAAAGTTATGGATGACATACATTTATGTTTATGTTTAAGATTACAGCTTTGTGGGTCTGACCAAGATAAATAAAATTACATTGTTTCATAAAATGATCAAGTGTGCTCAGCATTTTTGTGCACCTTAACATCCATGCAGATACTTTGAAAAAGCTAATAAATTGTGTTTATCTGTTTTAACTCAGGATCTGCAGCAGGTGATGGTGTCTGGACCCAACCTGAATGAAACCAGTATTGTCTCTGGAGGTTATGGAGGACCTGCAGGGGGCATCATCCCAACCAGCAGTATCAAAGGTACTTTTAGCAAACCATGCTTCCATTCTCTGCAGGTATTGCTTTGTTGTTTATTCTTCTAAGTAATATCTGCAGGGATATTACAAATTTAAAGGTGCATTAAGTACAAGTTGCTGTTCAGTAAGTAATTTTCATGCTAAAACGCACACATCAGTTGAACAGGATTGTTAATAAGTACAGTTGACCCGGCAACTCCTTTTCCAGGGGCTGACAGACACAAATACCCTTAAAGATATTTTGTTTCACGATGTTCTGGCTGTTGTTAGATAAAGGCTGTGTCAGAGATCAGTGCTTGTACTGTCTTTCAGTTACTGAAAGAGGTTGATACTTAGTGCATCTTTTAAGAAACAATAGCAGGAGCTTTTCTTTGTGTGTCACAAGAGAGCTGCTGCCCTGCAGTCTCCTGGTTTATGTCACAAACATCCATATTCCTTAGGACCCGCAGTTTACTTCAACCCTGAGTATCTGGACAGAAGACAAGCCCCTGCACCAGGACCAGGTGGCTGTGTATTCTAATAACCCCTTTCTTTCTTATTTAACCTTGATATGTTGGTCTTATTTGCCCCCTTGTAAGAGGTTTTGAGGCTTGATGAGCGGACTTGTATGTAACCTTGCTTGTACCTACCGAACTCTGCCACTGAACAGCTTCAGCAAGAAGTAATGTTTTGGCACCTTTCAAAAATAGGAATGAACTAACCAGATATTACAGGGCTGTCACATTCAATGTTGTGTTGATGTCTAAAAAAAAATCTGTTCTGTTCTGTACTTTGAAATGCACTTTGACCATTTTGCCAGTATTTGGTACTTGCATCTCATCCCATGAATTCCATTTTCATCTTCTTTTTTTAATGCTTTTATTGTGCATGTGAAGCCTGCCTGGTGGATTATTATTTACTTCAAAACCCCTCTAACCCTGCTCTTTATGTGTCCTCCACTGCAGAGCATAACAGTTTTTAAGCTCCTTTTGGACTTTCACTCCTTTTCCGTGGGTGGCTTCATGTCTGAATGCACAGCGTATAGCAGCGCACTTTCTCCATGATCATTTACAAATCAAAGAAAGTGCACACATTTACACATGTTGTGTGAATGCAGTATGTCACATTTCATGACTTAAGTACCACTGACACAGGATTGATCTGGATATAAGAGCATTGTGTAACATAATATCCAGTCCAGTTACCATGGTTATTTCTACAAATATTGTGGGAATGCTTGAAGATTCACACAGAAGCTACCTATGTCTGAATGACTAAATTACTTCAACAGATTAATGAAGCCAGCAATTGTACAAATCCCATGTCAGAAAGGGGCTTCGGTCTTCATGCTCTGCTGTTCTGCGGCATATCTCACTCCCAAGCTGCTCTGGCATGTTTCACTACAGTCATTTTTACATGTCTTCCTCTCATTCTTACTCTATATCACCGGCATGTTCATTTCAGACATTCGCATGAAATCCAGGGGTGTTAACTTGCCTAAAAGTCAATCTGCAGCAAGTCGACTTGCCCACCACACAGAGCAGCATCCAGGTATCACCATGCTCATCACCCTGTCCACACTGTCCTCACTTATTTTCCGTAAACCACTGCCTTAAAAACTTCTCATAGAAGAAGCTCCAGTACTGTGTACACTGTGTGTTTATTTCTAGCTTTTATGTTCTTTTTAGGGTCGTCGAACCATAACACAAATTCAACTGAAGAAGTTTCTCGTGGTGTAGCAGTGGAGAAACTGGACAGTGTGAAGAAATGGAGCATAAACACGTACAAGGTATTCTGCACTAGGTGTGCATGCTGTGTTTTTAAAATGGAATAGATATGCTTGGATATGTCTGTGTTCCAAAGACTACATCAGGTTGCGTTGACACCGTGTGCTGATCTCTGTTCATATTCATTGCACAGTGTACAAAGCAGATGTTCTCAGAAAAGTTTGGCCGAGGCTCACGGACAGTAGACCTGGAACTTGAGGCTCAGATTGACGTGTTAAGAGACACGAAGAGCAAGTATGAAAACATCCTAAGACTGGCCACCGCTCTCACCGATCACTTTCAAAGAATTGTGCAGACGCAGCAGGCTCTAGGAGATGCCTTCACTGACCTCAGCCAGAAGTCCCCAGAGTTGCAGGTATAGTATTGCAGAATCTCCCCATATAACATGTCATGACATTGGCAGGTAAAACCTCTGTATTTCTCTGCAGGATGAGTTTGGGTATAATGCAGAAACACAAAAGCTGTTGTGTAAGAATGGCGAGGCTCTGCTTGGTGCCATCAATTTCTTCGTATCCAGTGTCAACACACTGGTCAACAAAACAATGGAAGATACTTTGATGACGATTAAGCAATACGAAAATGCAAGGTATTGAACTAATAAGATGTACAACCATTAAGTGGTTAAACTTGATGGTTGCCTGGAAAATAACTCACAGTCTTGTGTTTGTGTTCAGACTTGAGTTTGATGCCTATCGCTCTGATCTGGAGGAACTGAGTTTGGGACCAAGGGATGCAGCTGGCGTGGTTCGCATTGAGATGGCTCAGCATGAGTACCAGATCCACAGAGACAAATATGAAAGGCTGCGTAGTGATGTCACCATCAAGCTTAAATTCCTGGAAGAAAACAAGGTTCAGATTACAGTCTAGTTTTATTCTTGAAATCCCTGCATGTTTAAAGAGTGCAGTCCTCTGAATTATTATTCTTTTTAGCTCTAGTAGTGAAAGATAGTGATACAAGTATAACTTCTTCACTTTTTTGGGCAAAGTTGGCACTTTTTTTTTCCCCCTCAGATTTCCTCGTTACACTGCACATACAGGTTTTATGTCCCAGACCATTTCAATTAATTTGGGTATTTTTTTTAAGTCATTATCTAAAGAAGTGCTTGAAGCATTTCAAGATCGCTGCTGAATAGCAAGCCTTGCTTCTAGGAGATAATCCCAGTGTCCACACTCAGAGACTTACCAACTTTGTGGCACATTTGTGCTAAAGCCTTTGAGGGCTTAAGGCTGCCCTACTGTCAAATCAAGCGCATGAGGGCTCTCTGGCAGATTTCTTGAGGTCTTATGCATACTTTCTGAATTTCTGCAGACTATACCTAAGGGTACCTTTAGGTTAAACTTAAAAAGAAAAGTATGAGGAAACAACAAACAGACACACAGGACCAGGCAACCCAAAGGTTGCAATAATATTTAGATTTAAATCAGGGCAGTACAACCTCTCCTTTATTGCACACAAATTTAATTCATTAATCTTTTTTATAGTGTTTAAAATGCTGTCCCATCCCTTTTTTCATACCATTTTTATTCCTTGTGAAATTACACACTCAGGCTCTGCAGTTTTGCTTGCAGGTGATGACATTTACATTTTTGAGGGTTGAATACTTAGGAAGGGTACAGGGACTGGTTTTGGCTCCAGTGATTTTTACCTCCAATCATGCAGCATTGGTAACCACATGACATCAGTGTTGTTGACATCATTGTGGTTTCACATGAAGCAAAGCCTAGATTAAACCACACCCAAAGTCAGGGTTCATTCATGGATGATGTGGTTTTGAAACAGGCTAGGCACTTGCAAACATTAAGGGCACAAACAACTGCCTTTAGCAGTATGATATGCCTCCTTAAAAACAGCTGGTCGTAATAGTTTTGAGATGGTCATTCTGAACGTGGAAAAAAAACACAAGAAAAACCCCAATCATATTTAAAATATTTGGTACGGTACTGTGTCTTGCCAATGCCTCTTCTAAGTTGCTTGAAGGATACCCATGTTACTGTGTTGAGTGAGCACAGTGTTGAATATAACTGCTATCATTATACAGCAAAAAGAAGGAATCTTTTGCATTTCTGCTACTTTCAAGGTAAAACCTCAATTAGAACTTACATTAGCAGAAAAAAGAGCTGCCCTTGCCGAGAGACTTAATCTCTCTAGTGTGTGCCTGCATCTGCCCAGGGGCCTCCTCTTGACAGGAATGACTAAAGCATCTCAACTATGAGATGTCCTAGTTGGATACCCAAACGTCCTTAACTGGCTCCTTACTTGGAGGAGTGAAAGTAAAGCAAAGTAAAATTGAATATATAGCACCTTTAAAGATAAATATCACAAAGTGCTTCATCACAAAAACATAAAGTAAGTTTTAAAAATGAGTTTTTAGCTGCTTTTTAAAAGAGACCACAGAGTCCACAGATCTTAAGCTCAGTGGGAGAGAGTTCCCAGTGTCTGGGGAACACTGCTGAAAAACCTCAGTCGCCTTTAGTTCTCAGTCTTTTGTGAAGCAAAACCAATAGACCCTGATCACATGACCTCAGAGACCTGCTGGTGATGTATGAATGTAAAATTTGACTCATGTACACTGATGCTTGATCATGCAGAGCTCTAAAAGTCAGCGCTAGAATCTTAAAGCGCACTCTGAAGGTTAATGGCGAGCCAGTACAACTGAATTAGTATCAGTGTGACATTTGAGTACTTGGAAGACTCAGTCAGCAGTGTCGTAGCTGCATGCTGAGCAAGCTGCAGACATCTCCGGGAAGATTTGTTGAAACAAGTAAACACCGAATTGCAAAAATCTAAAAGTGATGAAATAAAGGCATGAGTATGAATTTCCAGTTTAGAGCCTGAAACTCACCTGGGAAATTTTTCTCAACTGGTAAAAGCAAGAGCGAACCAAGTCAGCTTCCAGGGACAAAGCTGAGTCAAAAATGGCCTCAAGGTTCCTGATGGAAGATTTATCAGATGTGACAAGGGGACCTAGAATCTCCATTACCTTAAGCACAGATCTGACAGGGGCACAAACAAGGACTTCTGTTTCCTCTTCAGTAAGCTGGAGAAAATTGCCATCCATCCAACCTTTAATACAGTCTAATCATTTATGCAAGATGTCTAAGTCACAGTAGAAACATCTTGGGCTTAGAAGAGATATTTAACTGAAAGTCATCTGTGTAGCAGTGACAATAAATGTCATTTAAAAGTGCTCAAAATATGCTGAAGATGGAACAGATAGACAAAATAAGAGCCCCATAACAGAACCTCGTGACACACAGTAGGCAAGAGAAGTGGAGAATCATGTCATGGTCAGCAGTATCAAAGGCAGAGGTCAGGTCCAGCATCAGCAAAACAACATTCTCCTGCATCGCTTTGCATAGAAATGTCACTGGAGACTAAAGAGAGCTGTTTTGGTGGAATGAGCTCTATGAAAGCCAGATTTAAATGTACCAAGAATGCTGCATTTGTCTAAAAGAGATGTATGCTACTTGGTCTCAACCTTTTCTAAACTGCTACCAATAAACAGTCATTTTTAGATTGGTGTATAACTTTGAGGATGAGAAGAGTCAATTTTTTATTTTTATTTTTTAAGAGATTGAATGGCATGTTTCTTAAAATAAGCAGGGACTTGGCCGAAGAGCAGTGGAGCACTAGTTATATAGAGCACACGGGGGCCGATAGACTGAAAGACAGTTTTGAACAAAGATGCAGGTAAAATGTTGAGGATGCTTCGAATCAGCTACTATAAATAGTGGCTCAAATTAGTGACCCATATTTTAGAACCCAGCAACTCTCCAGAAGAAGCTAATTTCTGCTACTTGTATTCACAGTCTCCTTCTTTCAGTCAATACTCCGAGGTTGGGTCTCTAGGTAAGGGTGGAAATGCACATCGATAGCTTTGCTTTCACACTTAGATCTCTCTTTACCACAACAGACTAATACAGCGTCAATCTCCTGCACTACTCTTTCCTCACTCATGAACAAGACTCCAAGATACTTAAAACCACAGGGCCTGGATGGGCACAGCCCAAAAGCAGTACATCAGCAATCCCTCCTGTGGGGCCATCACTTGCAGAAAGGGGCTGTAGGAGTTCGGTGTTTTGTGGATCAGACAGTAGTTGTGGTGAAGGTCCTGGCACTCTGATCCCTGGTTAATAAATCTGGCTTTAGGAAAATGAAATGTCACTCATGACAAGAACTGTTAAAAAAAACATGGAAATTCTTGCCAGATAAATGTAAAATAGCAAAAAAATTCAAGTTAAACTTAAGATAGTATTTTCTGAGATCTTTAAAACGGCCTGCTTGACTCCTGAGAATAGGCTTCAGAGGAATGTGCAAGTTATTTTTAGGAATGTATTCCGAGCAGTTAGTGATCCAAATAAATGTCTGCAGGCTGTGCTTTCATGTAAACACCTGAAACCATGTTTGTAATGTCATTTTCTCTCCTCTCTTTTCCTCTAGGTGAAGGTGATGCACAAGCAGCTGCTTCTCTTCCATAATGCCATCTCCGCTTATTTTGCTGGCAACCAGCAGCAGTTAGAACAAACTCTTATACAGTTCAATGTAAAGTTAAAGCCCCCAGGATCAGATAAGCCATCGTGGCTGGAGGAGCAGTAATATGCATCCAGGGTTCAGCATTTTGACATGTACAGTTTCATGCTGGCATTGTGGTTAGATGGCGAATTTAAATGGATAAAGGAGTATATTGTAGAATAAGTAGCAGCCAGATATAGCTCTTTTGTAATGTTTTTCAGTATGATTTATTACATAGATGGACAACTTTTTAAGTTGTTCTTATGTTGTTTTATGTTAAATCACAAAATTACCCCATGTTATTTTCTTACTCTTTAGTTAGCACAATCATTTCCATCTCTTATATATGTACAGGATAGTCAACTATTGTCGAGATTCTCCTTTGCAGTTTGCACATGCATTATTTTGATGTATTTGTATTGTTGTGTAAGGTTCCCTTTTAATATTTCAGTGTACATCAAATAGGAGGAATTCTTAAAAAAAATAGCAAGTCAGCAGGGTACTGCTACAATGTTCAGAAATTATATTTATTTTCCTTATGCACATGTGATCATGAGATCAATTTTAACACTTTTGAGTCAAACACATCAGAATATAGATTCATTTTTAAAATTGCCCCACTATGTTTCTACTGTCACTGTTAAAATCCCTGCCTGAATGGTCAGTTTACAGTTTCTGTAGAGGGGGAATATATATATACAGTAAATATATATATTTAGCAAACATGATTTTTCTCTAACCTAATATACAGTCATAATTATTTTACACCTAAATTTTGGATACAGTGTTAGATCAAGTCCAGCACCATTGCAACTATCTGTCTTTTTTACTCTGGAGTTTACACATGGAAACAAGCCTGAACAAACATGACATTTGTGTTTAACAGCAAATCCCCATCAATTCCTAATCTAATCAGATCTCAACAATCATAAAGAAATCCGTATCAAAACATGGCACGCAGCCAGTGTTGCAGTGACTGTAGGAGCTGGCATTGTGCAACTGCAAAACTTCCTTTTGAAATACTGAATGGGAATAGTGGATCAAGGTGCACTTTAGGTTACAGTACAAGTGTCAGCGTCATCAAAAACAGAATGTATGAGTTCATTTGTTATAGTTTGCGTTATTTATTTACCTGTTTGTAACATAATTTGTATGTTACTTAGATTGTTTTAGTCAGCTGATTGTCTTTATCTTCTGCAAATCCAATAAAGTCTGCTGGATGTTTTGTTTCACTTAGATGTGCTTTCGGCACAGGGGCTGTCAGTTTCGTATGGTTACAGTTCACAGTATGTATGTAAAGAAAACTCACAATATTCAGTATGTAATTTTAATTATGTACATGATAAAATATATCTACAACATGCTTTCAGTGGATTACCTTATTTCTTATTCCTTAAAATACACTTCTTTTTTTTTTCCTGAAAGTTCGCTTAAGGTTTTTGATGTTGGCTTAAAAGAATGAGACAGGGCGACCAGAAGTAGCCTAAAGAAACTGAATGTTTTCTTTGAGGTGGTGTATGCAGTGAATAAAGCCATCAATCTGTCAATATTAGAATCACAGACATGATTGCTTTTTCAAGCTTCTCTGCCATTAATACAAATAGATTTTTAATGGTCACAGTGCTCTCAGATAAAATCAGAATAAGAGATTAAGGTTAAGAGATTAGATTATAACACACTCTTATCTAATCTTACCTTTATAAGTTATATAATATGATAGTTTGTTGTGGTCACACATTTGGTCTTGTAATTAAGTCTTAAATATATTCTTTACTGTCAGTCCCTTCAGACTTCCCTCAGTATAGCTTTCACTTCCTGCTTAAAATCTTATTTTATCCCAAAGGTCATTTTCCATTGGAAAAGGCAAACAACATGCAAGTTTTCCTCAGTATCTGAGAAAATCCCATGGCTTGCATACTAACACTGTTTAACGCATTGCAGACAATTTGCGGGATGATTTGAAGTATCGATCTTGAAAAATGTTTATGTCAATTTTCTATCATAATATGACTTGCAGTCCTGTTTTATTTATTTATTTTATTATTTATTTATTTTTTGCCTGTCCTGTTTGGCTCTTTTGCCATCAGAATTATTGTCTAAAGGCAAAAAAAGATGCCCAACGGATTTACTTTACCAAATTGACCATCCCAGCCTTGCCATAATGGTCCATTTGATTCACCTTTTATTGTGTATTTTATTTTCACTTGCTGAATACGGGACAGACTTGACTGGGGGAAAGAAGGGGAAAAAGAAAGAGGGAAAGAGAAACAGCTGAGAAGAGGGACGGGGGAGAAGGGCAAAAAACAAAAACCAACAGAACGGGCAGAAAAGAAAAAACAAAGAGAGAAAAAATGCATATATCGATCACCTGGATCACCTGCTGAGAAAGAAAAAAGAAAACAAGCAGAAGAGAACAAGAGTAATAGAATAAACAACATCACAATGATATATGGGAATATGACAGTAAATACTAAATATTAAACATTATTGTGCAGCACATAAGATCAACAGAACACAGTGTGCTTTGAGGTAGGAGCCAAAAAGGGTGTAGTTTGTGGGTGTGATCACCCGTGTGTACGCCTGTGAGCATGGACGCGCTTGATTTTTTGGGGTTTTTTAAAAAGGTTCCTTCATGTAATGATCTGCTAGAGGGTGTGGGGGGGCCACAGCCCCGTCCTCCAGGGCATGAAGCAGGTATGGAGGAGATCAAAACTCCAGACATCCAGAGGCCCCCAGAACACAAGAGACCAAGGAAGACCAACAGAGGGGCAGCCGCGCCACTGTCCCAGAAAGAGCTGAGGAGAGTCCCAGATGAGGGCTCACTCAGCAGCCGCGGAGCAGAAGCCAGGGGGAGTTGCAGTGACGCGCCCGTGAGCTCCGCCGGCAGCCAGCTGTGCCTGAGTGACCGAGCCCCAGGCCGAGAGGCCGGGGGGCACCCCACCTCCGAAGTGGCCCGAGCGAGCCCCAGGCTCCAGGCCCCGATAAACGGCCGCCAAGGAGTGAGCCGGTGTGTACCTGGACGCCCACCCCCAGACACAAAGAACCACCAACGCACCGATGTCTGAGGGAGTCCGCCACTGGCAGGGGAAGTGGTGGTGGGGGGAGATAGGCCTCCAAACCTTGCAGTCCTGTTTTATTAATGGAACTGAAGTTTTTAAGTACCGAGTCCCCAGCTCAGGGGTCCGATTGCGTTGTACGGATTTCCTTATATGGTCATCAGAGCTCAAACTGAGGCATGTATTCGAGGGCGAAATCCTGTGGGATTTTGGTAAATATACACCACGTAGAAAAAACAGTCGACTTAATTTGTATTAGTGGTGTTAAATGTACTCTATTACACAAATACACATTCTGGGCTTGTGACTGGTGAGCAATCCGTTATCGTTATCTGATAACGAGCATCTACGGAGCAAGGTTCAAGCAGTTTACCAAGAAGAAATGTTGGTGCTGGTCTCGGTCAAAATATGTACAGACAAATGTGAGAATTTAAGTTTTTCTTGTGCATTAAAATGTGAAATTATGCTAAAAAAAATGGAGTGGGGGGGGGGGGGGGGGGGGTGCGACTCCATCAAAGCGGCAAGTTATGTTTGCGGAAGTCAAACGACACGCAGCCAATCAGAGCTGGACTTATTATACTGCTTACCTTTGTGAGAGAACTCCCATAATATAGAGTTAAAGCCTGAATATTAGTTGAAAATTAATATATATAATGAATTCAAATCAATGACGGTCTCACGGAATTCCACAGGAATATTTACTAAAGTATATAACATTTAATTTATTTTTAATTAAGTTGATAATGTATTTATTACATTTTAAATATGTTCAATGGGTTTTCTCTCTGAGTCAGAATATTTGTCATTCTAGTTGACCGCTTACTCACGCAACTCATTGACAGATGGATAGAAACGCAGCGCCTCCCCAAACTCCAAAGGGAAAAGAAAGAGAGAGAGAGAGAGAGAGAAAGAAATAAGCCAATCCCAGAGTGCCTGGGAAGGTGTGGGCTGTCATGGATTTTAAGTGAGTTCACCTGGGCGTGTCATTTACACGCAGGTAGTTTCGACACTCTATCCAGGCTGATGTCACTCTTTACTTTTGAAATTTCAGCAAGAGGGCCATAAGAAAAGAAACAAAAAGGGAAGCGGAGTAATGGGACTTGTGCTGAGTCCAACACAAAGGTGAGTTGACTTTTAATTTCTTTCTCTCCGGTCTTTAACTAAAAATAATGCTAAGTGTTTGAACAAACATTGGTTTTAGTAGTTTACCGATCACGGTGGACAAGCATAGCTCTGTACTGGATAAAACACCAGGAGCGTTTAGATCTCCTAAAGTGACTGTTATGGCAGATTTAAAGTAGCCTCTATGCGTTTCCAAAGTGGATCATGAATTATTATAGTGTTTGCACAAGTTTGAGGAAACTTTTTATGAAAATAATCGGCGGCATCACTCCCATAATTAATCTTATGTACAGTAAAGAAAGTAAATTCTGTACTCTGTGCTAAACAAAGCTGCTCACTGTTGTAGAGTGTATGAAGATCTGTAGCTTATGTGTCCCCACCCTGCTTTGTTTCTTTCAGTCGGAATGCATCATCCTAACTGACAACACTTTGAACAAGTCACTCCAGGACTGACTCTTGCACCGCATTCCTGTAAAAACGACCAGAATCGCTTCTACATTCACTGCATTCCAATATATGCTGAAATTCAGCTTTTATGCATGAATATGAGTGTGGATGCATTCAAAACCTGCTGAGAGGTTCTTATTAAAAGATGCAGCCAGGAGGTCCTCCTGCACCCCCACCTCCACCCCCACCACCTCCGCTTCCTCCGCCACCACCTCCTCCACCTCCATCCCTACATGGCCTGGGTCCAATTTCAAGGTTGGAGCGCCGGCGCTCCAAGATGCGCAACTTCAACTGGGAGACCCTACCCAAACACACAGTTATAGGAAAGCACAACATCTGGACAGCAGATAAGACTGATGGGGAATATGAGCTGGACACTGATCATATGGAGGAGCTGTTCAGCCACAAGCAGGCCCAGCAGCAAATCAAAGCTCTGAACCGTCAGAGTCTGAGGGGCCTGCCAAGTTCTGCCACAGCAGGGGAAATGGTGAGTGCAGCTAGCCAGGCTATAAATGTGTCACTATCACCCGTTCATGTAGTGGAACTTTGACCCCCAAGGTTTGTACAATAGATTGAAAGGTTTTATATTCTTTCCTGTTTATTGCTGAGGTATGGAAGCAAGTTCTTTTGACCTGAATTAACCCCCCCACCCCCAAGCTTACATATAAGAAAAAACAGACGTCCCTGCAATGTTTTCCTCTCCTAACATTTAAAACCAGAGTGACCGAAGTGGTGATTTTATGAACTGGGAATATAGTGATACTATAGGAACTTTATTACTCTTTATGTGAAACTTAAAATTGCAATTTACATTTGCTTATTTTACAATTTACATTTTATAGGCCCAACTTTGCAATATATAAATACAATAAATGACAACAATAGTATAATGTTTCTGTCAGTAACATTATGTAATGATGTAAAATCACTCAGTACAAGGGTGGAGTATTATTATTATTTTCATTTGTTTGCTGAAGGAAGGTCTAATTGTGTTCTCACTGACATCACTCTGTTGTCCATGCTCTGTATTTAAGCTACCGTCCTTAATAAACACCACTAGGCACATTTACTTAATGAAGTGTAG